TCCGGAAGTTGCAGTAGCTCCGTCATGTCATTTGGGATGTGTGTGCAAAATTTCAGGTCATTTGGACGTGTTTTGGTTACGTTTTTGATCGAAATCGTATTTGGAAGTTTGAAGTTCTTAGGCTTGAATCTTTGATTAATTCGGGTTTCCGGCGTTGTTTTAGGTGTTTTCAAGATTGGTACAAGTTTGAATAAGGTATTAGGTGGTATTGGTGCTTTTGGTTGAGGTCCCGGGGGCCTCGGGATGATTCCAGGTGGTTAACGGAGGAAAATTTCTAAGTTTGCAGTAGCTGGTATTTTGTTCCTTCTGGTATTTTCGCTTCTGCGGCTTGCTCATCGCAGAAGCGAGTTTGGTCCCCCCCCCCCTCAGGAACCGCAGAAGCGGTTATTTATCCGCAGAAGCGGAGGTCTGACCTTTTAAAAGAAGCCGCAGAAGCGGCCAGTGTTTCGCATAGGCGGGACTGCAGAAGCGGTCCCTAGACCGCAGAAGCGGCATTCACTGTACAGATATAGAAATTTAATTTCATAAGTTGGAGAAATCAATTGAGAGCTCGGTTTTAGGCGATTTTGAGTGGATTTCGAAGAGAAGATCATTGGGTAACGTTTCTTTGGTCCCTTTTGTTATATTTCATCATTATATAGTTAAATACATCATTGGAATTCGAATTTAGGATAAAAAAAATTGGATAATTTGGGGTAAAACTTTATTGCCTAAACTATTAAGTTTTGAGTGGGCATTTGACCTCCGATTTGGGAGATTTTTATATGTTTAGACTCGTGAGAGTACGAGGGTTCTAAAAATGTGAAAATTATTCGATTCCGAGACGTTGGCCTGAAGGGCATTTTGGTCATTTCACCTAATTTTACGACGTAGCTTTGAATTTATTAGCAAATCCAGGTGTTTGCTATGTTATTTACGATGTGTAATTGAATTGAATAGATTTGAGCCATTTGGAGTCGTATACTCGTGGAAAGAGCGTGGTTTCTAGTTTATATTGAGCCGATTCGAGGTAAGTGGCTTGTCTAACCTTGTGTGGGGAACTTTTCCCTTTAGGACATGATCTTTGAATATTTGAATGCCTCGTACGTGAGGTGACGAGTGCGTACTTGAGCTAATTGTTGTAAACCCGTTTCTACTTGAAGTATTTAAATTGAGATTTCATGTTTACTTGTTCATTTTAAACTGTAAGTTTATACCTGTGCTAGCTTAGAGACTCATGTTTATCTGGCTTACTTGCTAATTGTTTAGCTGTGCTATTTGTACTCTGTGGAGCATGTTAGGCTAGAATTTACTATTTCTTGTCCTGATCTTTTAGCATTATTCTGAGATTATGAGTTGCTTGTTGTTGTGTGTATAATTTGGGACTACGGGAGGGCTTCCCGGGAGATCCCCCTGTACCAAGAGATCCCTGGCACGTGTTTCTATATATATACTGGGATACCAAGAGATCCCCGGCTTACTTATTGAGGATACCAAGATATCCTCGGGATACCGAGAGATCCCTAGTGTATATGATGAGGATACCAAGAGATCCTCGGGATACCAAGAGATCCCTTGTGTATATGATGAGGATACCAAGAGATCCTCGGGATACCAAGAGATCCCTAGTGTATATGATGAGGATACCAAGAAATCCTCGGGATACCAAGAGATCCCTATTGTATATGATGAGGATACCAAGAGATCCTCGGGATACCAAGAGATCCCTAGTGTGTATGATGATGATACCAAGAGATCCTCGGGATACCAAGAGATCCCTAGTGTATATGATGAGGATACCAAGAGATCCTCGGGATACCAAGAGATCCCCGGCTATTATTCCTTGTTGAGGGCAGTTTTCCTTGTATTGTACCTTGCTTTCTATTACTGTTCTTCATTTACCTGGTTTAGAATTCTCGTCGTAGACTTTATTTAAACTGTTTCTGTTATCTCATTATTTATTATGTTATCTCAGTAGGGCCCTGACCTTCCTCGTCACTACCCAACCGAGGTTAGGCTTGGCACTTACTGAGTACCGCTGTGGTGTACTCATGCCCTTCCTGCGCATGTTTTTCATGTGCAGATCCAGGTACTTCCTCCCAGGTGTATCATCCTCGTGGTGGAGAGTTCTAGCTGAGACTTGAGGTATATCTGCTACGTCCACAGACCAGGAGTCTCTACTCTATTCTGGCTTTAGCAGATAGTTCCTTTCTTTCCTTTCATGTTGTTAGACATTTTGGTGTAGAGCATAACACTACATTCTATTAGCCTATGTTTCCCGTGAGTTTCCGGGTTTTGGGATTTAGTTGTAGACTTCCGCATATTTTGAGTTGTTTAGGCCGAGTGGCCTTATATACAGTTGTTATTTCCGTATGTTCAGTTTTAATTAATTATTCCGCAAATGTTAATTTGTTATTCCGCACTGTTAGGCTTACCTAGTTGTAGGAACTAGGTGCCATCACGACATGTTCATGGAGGGTGAACTGGGGTCGTGACATACATAATCTCCCTTGAGATTTAGTTTTTGGTAGCAAATCTTTATAAAATAGCAGCTGGTGCGAAAATGGCGGACACAATGAGAAAATTTCCTTTCATTTTAAGTTTGTTCATATTTCACGTAAGATCCAATGTGGATTTGCAGTCGTACCCTATATTTGTGCTACATTTGAACTTGTACCCTATTTTTTAAAATTATTGATTTGGTAGTCAGTTGACAAAAAATCTGTAATAATATGACACTTACGCCCCTGATAAATCGCGTGATCTGCAACCCCATTCTTGAAAAAAGATCTCCTTCTCTCCTCTCAGCAGGTTTATCAAAAAACCTGAAACTTCATGCTAATGTAGCATGAAGTTGTTTCATGTTGAAGCTAAAACTTCATGTTAATTTAGCATGAAGTTGTTTTACATTGAAGGCAGAATGGCCTAAATGGCACCTGTACTTCACCCACTTTGTCATGCCGGTCCCCAAACTTACATATTTGCCAATTGAACACTTATACTCATTCAAAACGTGAATAATAAACGCTTATCCAAGGAGGCTGCCAGTGCGTGTTTGACAATCGCCTACACGTAGGGCGCCACATAAATAAAATATATCCACGTAGGCTCCAAGTCACATCTGATGGCCAAATAGGATAAAAAATTATTTACCCCCCCCAAACCCACATTTCCCCTCATTTTACAATTACCCCGCTAAATTAGGGCTTAGATAGTATCGAACAACAGTGAGTCGCTCCTCTCTTCTCCGTCATTCTTGCCGGGATTTTCATCTGTACAGTTGTTATCAAAGTTTGTGGGGTAAGTTTCTTCATTTATTCTTCATATTTTGTCTTTATTATTCTTCATTTCCTTCTATTTATGGGGATTTTGCTCTATTTAGGGTTTTTTAGGGGGAGGTTGGGTTAGGTCGTAATTGCTGTTTAATATCCCTTAATATATAGGGCTTTTGTTGTGTTTTGCTACATGTTAGAGTGAAAGGACTTTTTAATGTAGTGTCATGCATGTAATGGCATATTTGGTTATTCTCTTTAGTGTTTTGGGTTTTTGTTTTTAAATCAGAATTTCATCCTAGTGTCTTGGGTTTTTGTTGGGTCTCGTTCATGTTAGCGGTCCACCACAGTATTTTCTGAATATTATAAGGCATTGTGGGGACGAAAAAGGAATCTTGGATGCTTTTTTACTTTAAAAATCTGTCTTTTTTGTTGGTTTATTTATGGAGTTGTGTAAAGGTGCAACTTTTGATAACAAATAGTCATTGATAACACTGTTTTTTTTGTTTCTTTGCAGGTATGAAAAGAAAATGGCTTCAACCCTAGTTAACCTACAAATCCACCACAGTGGTAATTTTGTATCCGACCCTGACCTAAGGTATGCAAATGGACTAACTTGTCCTCACTTAGCTACAGTTGATGTGGATGAGCTACATATTATGTTGTTTCACAAGTTTGCTAGGGACTTAGGATTTTTAGAAGTGGATTTGTTTGGATGTAAAGTTAACAAAAGTGGTGCCTATTTCATTTTAAAAACAGATGCTGATGTGTTAAATTTTCTTAATACATTGAAAGGTGGTGACTTTGTTGATGTTTGTATTGTCCATAAAATTAGTGAGCCTATTCTTGTTGAGGACATAACTGAACTAGACCCCACTATACAAACAGAGGGGCATGACAGTGGGTTAAATGCTAGGGCTGATGTGTCACCCCCTAGCTTTTGCATGTTTAGGACATTTATTGACAAAGATAAGGGTAAGGGGGCAGATATAAATGAAGAGATAGAAGAATCAGATGAAGGTGAAAGTAATAACTTCTCTTCCTATCACCTTCAAACATCAGAATCTGAATCTAATGAGGACCTTGATGATTCTGAAGGGTCTGACTCACTGTTTGATATAGATGAGAACATTGAAGAGTGTAGTGATTTGGAAGATGATTTAGTTGAAATTAGACAGTCTAAACTCAACAAAAAGAAGGATGCCCAAGTTAATGTAGATGAGATACCATCTGGTCCAGTTGGTGTAGATGATGGTTTTGAAGATATGCATAAGAACAAAAGGGGAAAATATGACCGAAAACTAGGAGGGGATGACCAGTATTTTGATAGCTCAGATCCAGGTAGTGAGTGTAGTGATGATGACAGAGAACCTGTTGGCCCTGATGAAGTAAGGGATGCTCCAGCTAGGAATCCAAGTAAGAAGGTGTATTTTGATACAACTTCCAAAAAAATATTTTTTGAACTATATATGATCTTTGAGAATGATGTACAGTTTAGGGAGGCATTGCAGACATATTCTATTCAAAAAGGTGTCAACCTTAAGTTGAAACCTTTAGGGTGATTACATACTACCCTGTCCATAAATGCTACAAGAAAACAAGGAACAAGATGTGTAACCCACCATGGATTGCAAAAAAATTCAAAGACAGAATAGTTAGTGAGCCTCAAATTAAACTTCATCAGATTCAAGCCTTACTTAGGCAATCATATGGCTTGTATGTGAGTAAACTTCCTGTAGAAGAGCAAAAATGATAGTTATGAAGGAGAATATGGGTGATTACAAGAAAGAATTTGCTAGGCTTCATGATTATGCAGAAATGCTGAAGTCTACTAATCCTGGCACTACTGTAGTGATAAGGACATCTAAGGATTCAGTTTCTGGCAAGGAAGTCTTTATGGGCATTTATGTCTGTCTTGAAGCATTAAAAATGGTTGGTTAGAAGGGTGCAGAAACATAATTGGCTTTGATGGTGCATTCCTAAAGGGGACATGTAAAGGTGAACTGCTTTCCTGCATTTCCAAGGATGGAAATAATCAAATGTTCCCTGTGGCTTGGGCAGTAGTTGAAAAGGAATCAAAGGATACATGGTCTTGGTTTATCAGGTGTCTCAAGCATGATCTAAACTTGACAGAAACTGAAGGAGAAGGGCTGACAGTCATGTCTGATATGCAGAAGGTATGGTTTCTAATACTCTTTCTTTAAAATGTAATTTTTTTTATTTATGTTTAAGTTATAACAATATAATTTTTATGACTGTAGGGTCTTCATCTAGCAATAACTCAGTTATTGCCAAATGCTGAAATGAGATGGTGTGCTAGACATATCTGGGCTAATTGGAAGCAAATGGCCTGGTGAGGAAAGAAGGAAAAAATTCTGGCAGTGTGCAAGAGCTACATTTGAGGTTTACTTTAGCAAGAAGTTGGATGAAATGGACCAGCTGGGGGGAAATATTGTTCAGGACTTACTAAAATACAACAAGGAAACATGGTGTAGGGCATATTTCAAAGACCATAGTAAGTGTGATGTAGTTGAGAACAACATGTGTGAGACATTCAATAGTTGGATATTGGCAGCTAGGCACAAGTCTATCATTACTATGTTAGAGGAAATTAGAATCAAGTGTATGGAGAGGATGAATAGCATGAGAGAGTTTTCTGAAAAATGGGTAGGTGAGATATCACCCATGGCTATGGAAATACTTGGAGAGAATGCTCAAAGGGCAGCCAAATGTGAAGTCAAATTTAATGGTGAAACACGGTATGAGATCCAGGATGGGCCATATAAACATGTTGTTGACTTTAGGGCATATACCTGTACTTGTAGATCATGGCAACTCAAAGGAATTCCATGTGCACATGCAATTACAGCAATGCATTACAAGAACTATGAGGTTGAGCCATATGTTGACCATTGGTATAGAAAGGATACCTACCTTAAGGCATATAGCAGATTCATTCAACCTTTAACTAGTATGAATTTGTGGCCAACAAGCACACTGCCAGCTATTGAGCCACCTGTTATAACTGCAATGCCGGGAAGGCCAAAGAAAAAAAGGACAAAGGCTGCTGATGAACCAAAGAAGAAGTTTGGGAAGGGTACAAGGATAGGGAGACAAATGAGATGTTCTTTGTGCAAGACTGTAGGACATAACAAGAAGGATGGCCCATCAACAGTAAGTATTAATGTTTGTTTGTTACTAATATTAAAGAATTCAATTACTAGTGATAGTTTTGTTATGTGTATGCAGAAAAACCAAGAGGGACTGGAACTAGTTCAGGTAGAGGTGAAACTGCTGAAAGTGGAACATGCAGCAGTGGAAGTGCATCAACAATACCTGCAAGTGCATCAACAACACCAGCAATCCTTGATCCAAGCACACAACAATCAACTAATGTTGCAAGAGGTCCAAAAAGAAGACCAATGAGCCTAGAAGAGGTGGTGCAAATGCAGGGTCTAAGAGAACAAAGACAGCAGGATATGGTGTGCTATTTGATTCAAGTGGCACTGTTATACAGAGGTAAATATTTCAACTCAATTACACAATGGTTTACTACATAATCTCTCACTCACAACCTTTTATTTTGTGCAGTCTGGAACTACTGACAGAGTGGTACACAATCCTCTACACTCATAAGTTCTGCTCCTACCAACATTGAACTTAGGTTCAAACCACCTGGACTAAAGTGGAAGGGCCGACCAGCAGTTACACAAAGGCAGCTGCAAGAACAGAGTTACAGAAGGGCAAGTCTGCTACAAACCACTCAAGCCACACCAGTTACACAATCCACACCAAGCAGCCAAGCCACAACAGACATTAATTGAAGTGCTCAACTGATATTTACTATGTTTTTGTTGACTGTGGTAGACAATATTTTGTAAAGCTACTTCATTATGTATGTTTTTGTTGATTGCCTATCATTGACAATATTTTGTAAACCAACTCCCTTATTTTGGATGTTTTATTAACTGCCTATAACACAGGCCATTATTTAGTACTTGTTGCTATAATGGAGCCTTTGTCAATATATTTCATGAACAAAATTTTACATCAACACAAAATATGTAGCCTAAACCCAGGAAATAACAAAGTGCACTATCAATCCTAAACAAATAACATAATAGCTAACATTAGAACAAGTACAACCACAATTATAATAGCAGCAACTCTCAACTTCGACCTTCCTTGACTTCTTTGACAATGGCATCGATCACTCTTCTTAATAAGAGCCGTAAAGAAGAGTCTTGTAGTGTTCTTCCTCAATCGCAAGATCAACCCATCTGAAAAAGCCACAACCTTCACCAATCTCATATCTTCGGCAGCCCAGGAACCTCCTTCCAGGATTGGTAGGTGTACGTGACATTTTAAGATCTGCAGCAACTCCACAATAACACAAAGGTTGCATCCTCATTGTTGAAGGAGAAGAGGCGGCAATAGCGTATTTGTTGCAGGAGAAGCAGAAAAAAATCCACTTTCAAAACAAAAGGAGATTGCAAAAATTGATGGGCAAAGAAGATTCACATGAAATTAAAATTCTATTTTTGACAGCTGAAGCTAACAAAGAAAGAAGAAGGCATCAGATTTGCTAAATTTAGCTTCTACAATGTTCAACAATGGAGAATAAGGTACAAAGAAGAAGATGGATGTTAAATTGGCTAAATTATTACCGTTAGGGCCTTTTTTTCTGTCTTCACGCCCCTTACAGGCGTGTGAATCACGCACTGCAGCCACATATGACACATAGGATAAGCCACGTTGGATAAGCGTTTATTATTCACGTTTTGAATGAGTATAAGTGTTCAATTGGCAAATATGTAAGTTTGGGGACCGGCATGACAAAGTGGGTGAAGTACAAGTGCCATTTAGGCTATTCGGCCTACATTGAAGCTAAAACTTCATGCTAATGCATGCAGAAGTTATTTATCTTGCAGTCTACAGTTTTGTCATGAGTGCTGAAGTTATTTAGTTCATTTGCTAAATTTCAGTTGCTGAAGTTATTTAGTTCATTTGCGAAAACTTCAGACGAAACATGCTTAAGTTTTTGTCTTGCAGTATGTAATTTTCTAATGAGTTTTTGCTAATGCATGCTGAAGTTATTTAGTTCATTTGCTAAAATTTCAGTCTAAACATGCTGAAGTTATTTAGTTCATTTGCGAAAACTTCAGACTAAACATGCTTAAGTTTTTGTCTTGCGGTACGTAATTTTCTTATGAGTTTTTGCTAATGCATGCTGAAGCTATTTAGTTCATTTGCTAAAACTTCAGACTAAACATGCTTAAATTATTTTGTTCATTTGCTAAAACTTCATGCCGAAACATGGTGAAGTTTTGTCCTGCAGTCTACAGTTTTGTCAGTAGTCCTGAAGGGCAAAATCGTCTTTTGAAAACGCTTTTAACAAAAAAATGGGCACGGATGCAAATGAAAAAACAAAACGAGTATAAGTTAAAAGGGAGCGACCAAATAGGGTGCCCCATGCAATTTTTACGTTTCAAATCGAGGGCCTATAGTTTTTAGATTTTTTATTTTGATCTAGAAAAACTTAAGATGAAATTTTAAATAAATAGGTTGAATAATTGGTGTAAATAAAGCTATGGCATCTAAAGTTTTTATTTAATTGTATATGAACATGAGTCATGCGTAAATTGTTTAGCGCACAAAGAATTAAATATTTATCTCATATTTCAGGATCTAAAGTTAAGACATTAACATAGTGATGGATTAGGCATTTCTGTCCTACTTTAACAAATTTCTCCAGAAGTAAACGTTATAATGATGCCAAGTTTGTAATCAACCACAAAAAGATGATAATAACGACTTAAAAGACAAAAGGTCAAATAGATTATAAAACCACTTTCTTTTATTTCATTATAATATATCTTTGTTGTATAAGATTTAAAACCACATAAAGATAAGCTTTTACGGATCTAATCACATGTGTGGATTTATCACACAAAGATTCTCATCGGTGTGCAATTCTCTTTCCATAATGTCTAAACAGTGTTTAGATGCGTTAAAAGAAATGGTAAGACGAAATAGAAATACTCCACGGAACTAAAACTGCAAGAAGTGAATATTTTAAAATTAAATCCTATTCAATTAATAGCAAGTATTCGGAAAAAAAATAGAAATTTGATGATAATTTTTTAACATACGAATTGTAAAATTCCAGAAAAAGGTGAAAAAAATATTTCAAGTAAAAGTGATATTTGCAAAATAGAATTGTGGGACATGAATAAAATTTTGGACTGTTTTTGATTTTTTGTGAGTTATCTTAAATGAAAATTTTGAAAAATATCTTTTTGAAGTTTTTCAAATTTTCGAAAAATTTCGTTCATCTTCAAATAAAAATTAAAAATATTATGGGCAAACACTAATTGAAAATATTATGGCCAAACACTAATTTCGAAAAAAAGTGATTTTTTTATGGCCAAACGGCCCTGTATACTATCTGATTTTTCAAACACTTTCAGATAATTATTTCAGCATGGCCAAAAAGCACCAGAGAGGGCATTATGTTGGAGTCCTTTAATTAATGTTTGGTCGTGCTTTTTTTTTTTTTTTGGTGGCCAGAAGTAATTTTTGGGGTTAAAAATACTATTTTCTAAAGTTAAAGATATTTGACTAAGCTTCTAGAAGAAAAGTACACATAGAAAAATGGGAAAGAAAATACACAAATAGCTATTCTTTAGGCTGCTATTTAGAGATTTGTCAATTCTTATTTTGTTCTGAAATTTTGAACTAAAAATCTTAATTTCAGCACTTTGTATCTTAGAAAATTAAATTAAAAAATTAAAATCAGGACACATTGACTAATTCTTATATAGCACACCTCTAGAATGGCTACCTGCTACTAAAAAAAGCAGAAGCAGAAGCAGTTTTTGAAAAGTAGAAAAAGTAGTTTTTTTTCAAAAGCACTTTTAAGAAAAATACACTTAGAAACACTTTTTAAAAGCTTAGCCAAACAGTAATTATTGCTCAAAAGTACTTTTCAAATTAATTAGAACACAAATAATTTCTCATCAAAAGTACTTTTTCAAAAATTACTTTTAGAAAACGTATTTTTCAGAATAAGCTGATTTTAGAGGCACGACAAAAGACTATTATGATATCTTAACAACTCTATGTTGCACAATTAGTACTTTATCCCGTTCAACTTTATATGACATATTTTTATATAAAATTATTAAACTACTCACTTACTTTTAATTTTGATGTGATGTTTCCTATTATTTCAAACTACTATTTTCTTTTATTATTACTAATATATTACTATACAAGTTAAAATAATATCTTAAATTTTGTGTCCACTCACACAGGAAGGAGTTACAACCAGCCAAAGGTGGTTAGTTGAATCTTCTTTGCCACAAAATTATACTTTGTAAGAAGGTAAGATATTTACTATTTTTTTTATACATTTATACTAACTTTTGAATATTTAAATTTCTGGTTTCGCGACTAAAGCTACTTATTTTTACATAAAATGAAGGGAAGTATTATTTATTAAACATTGTTCTTTTTCTTCCACCCAGTTCCAGTAGTAACTTTGGAGTCCGAGTAATTCAAGCTCGCACCTAATGCTCATTAAGGGGGGAAATTTTTTACTATGATCTTTTTCATCTGATTTTCAGGACTCAAACCCGATACACCTAATTAAGGATAAATAATTATATTCATCCCGGCGCTAACCTTTAAGGGTCGCTTGGTTTGAAGACAAGTTATATTGAGATTAGTTGAATTAGTATTATTTCTTATTGACTGTTGGTATATCGTATTAATCCTCGAATGGGGATTATTATTCCACCATCTGACAAGTAAAAGTTATCTCAATGCCATTTTTAATCATGGATAACTTATCCCTGAATTAGTAACCAAACAACGAATAAGACGGTACTAAATTTTTATCTTATAATTATTTTTGCTTATCCATCGTACTAAATGACCCTTATTGGTCAGACATGAGATAGTCAACGTTTGATAATAATCTCCCTATCCAAATCACCTTCAATGGTGGAACCCACGGATTTCTCTTGTGTCTCTTCTGGATCTCGAAAGGGGAAGACATTGTTGTCACAGTTCCTTTTGTTCTTATCTATTCTGTATAATATACAATCTTAAATCTTTTCTGGTACAAATATTTAAACTTCTATAATTATTTTAAACTTGTACGCACTAATGAGTTTTTCTGTTCTGGTATGGCTTAGTTAACCTAGAGGTACTTAATTGTGGTAAAAATAAATATTAGTGCTGTGCACATTAGCCTGATCAGATATGTGTATTGGAAAAAATTATATTTATATGTAAAGGTGACGTGTCAAGACACGTGGATTGGTCAAATGGTCAAAGAATTGCAATTAGCTAAGAGTCATGAGTTACAATAGATACGAGCAAAGAAAGAGGAAGAGGCACGGGACATCAGACAAGTAACACGGCGCCCGTACCTATTTAAGTCATATATATCCGAGAATTAGAAGGAATGAATCTGATAATAGAAAAGAGTGCAGATACGGCATTTAATGAGTATTAAATGCTGAATACGTTGGAGAATATATTTTGAATGTAATGATTGTGTAACGTAGCATTAAATGTCTTTAATTACTCATAATAACCTCATTATGATTTGAGCAAAACGTATATTCTCAAAGGTACCTATAAAAAGGAGATATATAATCAATTGTAAGGATACGAAAAATCATCTGAATATACTTTGATTTATTTGCTTTATTCAATTATATTCTGGCTATTCAAATTATTCTTTTTTATATATTCTTGCGATTATCAGTAACTCGTGTTCTTCTAAAATATAGCTTTAGTCAAAATTCCATTTTTTGATTAAACAATATGCACTTAATAAAATTTTAAGTCTTGGCTTCTAATCCTTCCCAAAGGATTTTAATATAGCCTCTTGAAGTGCCCAACGTAAAATATTAGAATAAAGTTATGCACTATGAACTAGTGCTTTGTCTCATAATAATATAAATTAATATAAATCAAGAAACTCCCGAATCATCATGAAGTCCTTGAGTAATTAATACTGTGCTGTAACTCCTAAAATAAAAAAATAATTAGAAAAACAATTTTAAAATCCAAAATCCAAAATCACTGTTTTGTTGTCCTTATCAAACTGAGAACTAAATATTAGAGAAAAATTACTACTAGTACTAGTATAACCTGGTTGGCCAGGAAACAGATTAACTGAGGAGCCTACTAATATGCCAATCAAGCGTACGGAAGAGGAATCTCCGTAACGCTCACAAAAAAACAGAAGAAGACGGAACTCAAATGATATATTAAAATCAGTTAAGATTTCACTAATTGTGTAATTTTTTTATTACACCATCAATTGATATATTAAACTCATCCAAAAATATTGATTGCATTTAATGCTCGTTATTATTGGATGTATGTGTGAACAAAATCTCACATGAAAAATAGAAAAGAAAAATAATTTACTTATAAGAAGTTGAATATTTTTGATGGTGTGAGATCTTTAAGGGAGAACCGTGCAGATTTGGTTCAAGTCGAATAATATAATACTATGGGAAACTTACACAAATGTTCCAAATAAATCTCAACTTACCAACCTATAGCCATTAGTCATAGACTTACCAAAACTAGCCAACAAAAATTGAATATCAAATAATAGGGTTCTTTCTCTCAAAGAATCAGATGCAAAAATCACCTTCCATATTTTTAAGCGTGATTAGCAACATTAGATACAAAACGGAAAGGAAATTTCATGGACGGGGTAGCAAATAAGGTGATGAAATACAAAAATCTATATAATATTCCAAAAATCTAAACAAAAAAGGAACTTTTTCAATGGGTGTAGTTGAAATTCATTGAAAATATATAGATAAGTCAATACACAAAATTTGAGGAAGATTGGAGGTGATTTGGACTGGTTTTGTATCAAAATTCGTAATTAAATCGAGTTCAAAAAAGTCTTCTGCGACAGATGTATCAAACATGTATCACACACACAGGTATACATGGATATACATGTGATACACAATTGATACAAATTATGATACATATGTGATACACAAATGATACACAATGTGATACACATATCATTTTTTTTTCATGTTCAGCTTTTACTTCGATTTTTCAATTCAAACCACCTCAAAACTTCACCAAATTATCCCAAAACTGAGATTCAAGCTCCTTAAGTTGTGCCCAATCTATTCTAATAACACCCAATCAAAACAAAGCAAAAATTTGATATTTTTTTGCTACAAATAGCTAATTGGCTAATTTGGCTAATATTAGTAATATTTTATCAATTGACTAATTTTTGTAATGAGTTACTTATAAATGGACATAATTGATAATTTCCCTAATACTATATTAAAAGTACCTTTGGACCGTTTTAAGTTTTAATTATAAGACCAGTCTCTTTTAAGGTGGAAGATTGCAAAGTCGAAATTATAAAAAGCAATTGTCGAAGTGACAAATATAAAAGCTATCCACATTTCGGGAATGGGAATCGAGATTGGTCATTTAAGGTAATTTGACTTCATTTAATCGTTAATTTGCTATATAAGGAAATAAATTTCAATATATAACCTTAAGCCTTAACAGTGAAAACGATAAACGATAATATAAACAAAAGAAAATATCACTTTAATGCAATTTTTCTGTAAAATAAGAATGCCTGAGTTTTTCAGACATCAAATTTCAAAGAACTTCAAGTTTTACATTATATTAAGAATTTTTTCAGTACAGAAAAGCGACCAACAAGAGAAAGAAACGACAAGGTGCTAAAAGAACTCCAAGTTCTACATTATATTAAAGTTTTTAAGTCAAGTTCTACTTGCTTAAAAAATAAAAATAATAAATTATTACACTTCCATTAAAACTTTATTTGACATAGTTGCATGCACTAGTGGAAGTGAAATTTATCTATTTCTGATTTTTGAAATAATGTCTGTTGATTCCAAAGCTGAAAATAAAATTTAGCAATTACAAAGCTACAGAAAAATTTCTACAAATTGCAAAATATTTTTTACAAATGAACTACGTGAACTATTTAATCCAAAAACTTAAGTTATTAAAGAAGAGATTTTTATTTATTTAAGTCTTCAATAATTATACAGTAATAACAACAACAAATCCAGAGAAGTCTTCAACAATTATCACTAAATTGTAACAGAACTATTATTGGCAAATTATAACAAAAACGACACCTATTCCTTATCAAAGGAGTTAAGAAGAAAACCACATTGTTCTTCTATTCTAGTTTAGAATCCCAAAAATAGCTAATTTCTATTTTAAAAACCAAAAAAGTTACGGGGTATAGTAAGAGGGTGTTTGACTAAGCTTATAAGCTGGTCAAATTAATTTATAAGCAATTTTTGGCTTGTTTACGCATTTGGTAAAGTTAAAAGTGCTTATAAGCCAAGTGCTTATAAGTCAAAAATAAGCCAAAAGCCATAAGCTGGTCACCCCCAGCTTATGAATTTTTAGCTTATAAGAACTTTAAGTTTGACCAAGATTTTTACTATTTTATCCTTAAAATATTCTTTTTTAGAACAAAACTCCTGCATCGATACTCACTGCCTCAAGTATTCAACCTAAACCCCCCTCCCCTCTTCAAGTCTGCAATTCTCATTGACTATTTAAGATAAGCAACTTCTTTATTCCTTTGCATATTTATGTCTACGTGATTGTGTAATAATCTTTGAACTGTATGTAATAAATGAGGACGTATCAAATTTTTGGTGTATTGCTTTCTAAGTGTTGTGGTGATGAAGACAATGTTTGTTTCCCTTCAAATATTTTGTCCTATTTAGGTTTATTTTTTACTGAGAAACTTTTGTCAATTTATTAATTATTATAACTTATGATTTTATGCTTATCATAAATAAATTATATTTATCAAAAAAGTTATATTATCTAAGAACACTTGTATTTAAAATAAATTGACAAATAGAATACTTTGTATTTGAATCGATCTGGAATCTAAAATTTTGGAGAAATTACGCCCTTATAAATATAAACAGTTCTAAGGTTATTTAAGTCATTTTAACAGAAAAAGAGCTTATCAGCACTTTATTATCAAATACTGCAGCAATTTATTATCAATATCAGCACTTGTAACCCAAACACGTAACTGCTTATTTATTAAATCAGTTTCAGCACTTAAAAGTGCTTTTCAGCACCTAATGCTTATCAGCTACTTCAAATAAGCTAATCCAAATGGGCTCTAAGTATTCAAATCTCTTGCTCCGAACATGTTAAAGCCAAAATTACCCCTGGAATATTAGAGTTGGTACAATAATACCATCCGTCCACCTATTTTGCAAAAATTATCCTCACAGTTTTCTTTTCGGCTCAAGACTTCCCTTACGACTAACAACCCTGTTAGGTTAAAAAAAAAAAGCTTTAATTAATTTTTACGTGTCATCATCCCATTGGCCTAACTTAAAATTCACCCAAATTAAAAATATACCCACCCGTACGTAATATGTTTCTTTGCTTTTCTCCTTCTCAAAGCGTCGTCCTCTTCTCAGAAAAATACATCATGTTATCAATCTCTCTCCCCCACCCCCTCTAGCGTATGTGCGTTCTTATTCTTCTTCTTCTTCTCATCCATTTTTTTTACCTTGCACTCTATTTGAATAATTACTACAACCACCAATAAAGTTTTATTTTCAGACAACCAAAATATTTTGTCACCAACACTTTACGTCATACAACTTTCACCCGTATATTTGAACACTAACAGAGAGTCACTAGTAATGGTCGTTGAGCATTTGCAATGTTTTTCGGTGTAGATTTCCTAACAAGTCTGCATCCAATTTCGATTATACCAGAGTTTTATTTGGTCTCTGCTCGGACTCTTTGTCTTCTACATTGGCTCATCATAGTCTGAACATCTGATCATGCTCATAAATTAAGCTATACTACGAGGATGCTCTTCAGGCTGTATCAATACCGCCAATTTAAAAAAGAGACAATAAAATCAAGAGGAATATTTGAGATCATATGTTTGAGAATATGAGAGAATATGACTTATTTGAGAATGTGACTGTAATAAACACTTGATTGAGCTTACTATGAAGCAGTGAAGTGTAGTAAAAAAAATTGATGATGAATGATATTTCTGTGATGGAAAAAAATAGGAGTATTGATGTGTACATTTAATAAAGGAAGAAATTGGGAAGAGGAAGGTGATTAACCATAACAGAAAGGTTCGTTTGCTTAGGAAATAAATGGGTGTATTAGAGTTCTGGATTTTGTAATATTTTTGAAAAGAAAGAGGATAAAGAAACAGAAGAAGGAGAGGAAGAGGGTTATACTAGGATAACGTATTTTTGTTTATGAGACTTAGAATGCGGGTGGATTTATTTTAATTTAGGTGAGTTTTAAGTTAGGCCAATGGGATGATGACAGGTGAAAAAAAAGTTTTTTTTTAACCGAACAGGGCTATTAGTCTTAAGGGTAGTCTTGAGCTGAAAAGAATACGGTGAGGGTAAATTTTACAAAATAAAAAAACGGAGGGTATTACTGTACATATTCCAATAATCTAGGTGCAGTTTTAACCCTTTTCCGTTCTTTTTTAGATTCCTTTAAATTAGGCAGAATAATTCAACAAACAGGCCGTTAATAATCCAAGACAGCAGTGATTATTCTATTAAAAATTACTACTACTAAAATAAAATGAATTGAATCATCGTACACGACAACAGAAATCAACTTGTATGATTGCGTCCTAAATCTTCTCTTTTCCCTCTGTGTCACAACATAGTATAGTTTAATACTGCAATTGATCATCATCACCACTATTATATAGAAACCTAAAACTGAAGTTTTGAGCTCATTTGAAGTTAAAACGTAATTTTCGGAAATCACATTCTAAGTCAACTGCCATTGATATTCGACTACATGAACTGCTATTGTTAAAGAAATTGCAATGGAGTCGATAGTATTAACGACGCCGTTTAGAGTGCTTGAGGAGTCAACAAGTAGTTCAGAAAGTTCAGGTTCGGATCCTACAAACGCAGTGATATTTGTAGGGATAAGTTTGCTATTGGGAATCGCTTGCAGACACGTGTTGAGGGGTACCAGAGTTCCTTACTCTGTCGCTTTGCTTGTTCTTGGCATTGGCATTGGCTCTTTAGGTTCGTTTTTCCTGTTTATTTTTTATTGTGTATTTATCTATTTATTTTTATATTTTCACTTCCTGAATGATCATCAGTACAGTGGTAGTGATCATATGATCGAAAACTGCAAAATCAAGGATTTTCCCCATTTAACATTCAATGTCTTCTAAGCTGCATCCACCTAATTAGCTTCAGCTTGTGCTAAAAAGTAAATGATGAATGAAATAACGGCGTCATTTAACAACTTAAATTGTTAGAGAGGGGACTTATTCATTTTTAATTCAGTAACATACCGACTTGATTTTCTTCTTGGGCCAAGCAAGTGAAAGCATTTAAGTTGATGGTGGTAGTGAGACCAAATTCAAGACCATAGCATTTTGAATCAAGTGAAATCGCTCATCTAAAAGCTTAAGTTACTAGAGTAAGGATACTTCTATTTATTTATTAGATCTGCAAAATTAACCATAACTAATAGATAGCTGGAGGAGGAGAGAAGAAAATCTGAAATGTTTGAAATTTTAGCTTCGATTTCTAATTGCTTAAGTGTAAGTGTTACTTTTCTTTTTTCTCTTTCTGGAATTTATTTTTTGGACTTCTTTTGGAACATCTGCTGCCAGCTCGAGATGTAAATGACACTGATGTTATTGATCTTAAATTTAATATTATGCACCTCTGCTTCAGGTGCCAACAAAATTTTGAAGTAAAAAATCTTTATATTTTGAGTGCTGATATATACATAACAAGTTACCCTGCAGAATATGGAACACATCATGGGTTGGGAAGGATTGGAGATGGTATTCGTATCTGTAAGTTCAATTCCTTATATTCTTCGCACAAGTATCCAATAAGTTCAAATCAAATTTCTCCCTGTCTAATAGCAACTAGAACCCCCCATTACCCCAGTATACTATTGGTTAATTATTTTGCTCTCAAATGTCTGTACCTGGTAAACCATGAACATTTGGCATCTGCACAGGGGCAAACATTGATCCTGATCTTCTGTTGGCGGTTTTCCTTCCTGCTCTTCTTTTTGAGAGTGCTTTCTCAATGGAAGTTCACCAGATAAAGGTACATTACCACTAGCCTTCCTTTCTTCTACTGCTCGTAGAATGCGGAAACTATGGGCGATCCAGTGATGATTTTTCTCCTCTATGTATGTACATCTGTATGTTATTATGCTTGTGCATTCTTTTGACTTCTACCTCCTTGCTTGTATTATTGCTTTGTTCATATGATTGTTTATAGCATAATTTATGCTATTCTTCACCTATAAAATAAAATGTCATGCATTATGTCTTCTTCATGTTTTACAACCTTATATCTTGCTTCTTTTTTCTTTAACGCTGACCAAGTATTGATCTGCTGGCATTGAACTTATTGTAAAGACTACAGTGGCAGTATATTTTCTGATGAGTAATAGTTTTATTAAATAAAATGTAGCATTGAGGGAATGCTGTCATGCACAGAAAAGGCTGCAATTTACAAAAATGGTTTGCATTTTCCCCTATGTTCCTGGAAAGAAGACAGGAACTCAAAAAAGTATATAAATTGTATAATCTTTCAATTTGGTCCAAAATGCTAGTAGATGCAAACACCTAATTTTAATTATATGAAATACATCCTCCATGCTTTCAGAACATCTGCAGTTTCTTTCTCTCCTAATACCCATAACATACATGCTGGGGTGGTGATCCAAATGTCCTTGTGTTGCTTTTTCACTCTCTTTCCAAACCAACAGGCCAGTAATTCTTTAAGCACCTAGGCAACACCAATATCACCTAACGGCGAGGAACATGTAAGATAGTTGGAGTACTAGGTGGCAATGTAGGAAGAGATGGTCTATGTCTTCAGATTCACTGCTCACAGGTGTATCATCCATTGCATAGGACAATTTCTCTTTTCTGGAGGTTTGCTTGTGTAAGCCAACCACTGTGTAAAGCTGCCCACATGAAGGATGCTTTTAATGGGGTGTTGATCTTCCACAGGTGCTTCCATGAGAAACCATTCTGGCTCTCCCTGATGAAACTAATGATGGATAACAAGATTTGATTTTGAGAGACACTTTTTGGTATGCTTTCCAGCACAAACAATCTGGTTTATGAGACAAATAGCCGTACTTGTCCAGCTTCTCTATTAATCCTGTGATGCTGCCTATCTGTCAATCTTCTAGAATTCTTCTAAGCTTTTCTTCCCATCCCTTTTCCGTCGTGCATTGGGCTTCCATGTCTCACAGTATTCTGTATCATATGGAACAAATCTTCAAATTCATCTTGTAGGAGGATGTGCCTAACCATGCATCCTGCCAAAACTTTATTTCCTTCCGTTGCCTAAGTTGGATGTTGTAACCAGAAAAGAGTTCTTCCAAAAGCTCCCTAATGTACTTCCATAAGCATATTCCATCTGAAGAGGTGATTGAGTTAGACCACCTGGGGAGGAGCTCAAACTTTACTGTGACTACTGACTTCCCCATGGCATTCTGTTCAGAGTTAATTCCCAATTCCATTTGTACAGAAGACTTCTGTTGTGTAGATTTACCCTTGTAACTAAATGACCATCTTCCGTTTGCACTCTTGCTCAGTTAATCCCATGGAATACTTTGCCTTCTGCATTACCATCCCATGGAAAGTCCCCTTTTAAGCTTTTTCAGCTTCAGAGAAATTGATGAAGTGGTATAGAGGACATGTGGTAGGTCGGAAGATGTCTAGAATGGTATTAATTAAAACTAGTCTGCCCAAGAGTGAGATAATTCTTTTTCCAGAGTCCCTTAATAAACTTTAACAGATCAAGAGAAAAGAGGAGTTGTCTACCCCCTGATTATTTAATGTAGGACTTGCAAATCTCAATCTGTTCGACCCAAATCATCTTTTTCCTATTACCTCAAGTGGCTTTTCCCCGTTAGACAATACATTCCATCTTCTGAGAGTTCACCACTAGGTTTAAATCGATCATGTTTCATGTTGCTGTCTACTTGGGTTAAGTTACTACGTGACTAATGCAAAAACTTATGCTTAATCTACGAATCTTGAGTGTTAGTTAGTTAGTTGTTATGTAAATAAGCATAGTCCTATATGGAATAGGAGTAGCATAGGTATTGTATATTGTTATAAATAGGGGTACCTGTATTATAGTTAGGGTACATCAATAACATAATATTTTCTCGTGTATTATTTCTCACACTGAGGAAAGGAGTATTGCTGGGAGCTGAAAGATAATAGTTTGTGCCTGTGAAGTTTGTGTATAAAAGAACTGTGGAGATTTATATTTATCATATATATAAAGAAAATATAATTGTAAATATGATGTGATTGTGTAAATATTTTTTATGCTATACTGGATAAAACTTAATTTAGTTAAGAAGAAGGATATATATATATATAACCTTTTG